CTGAGTCAACCCTGAGCCGGTGAGATTTGAACCGCTGAACTGCTGATCTAGCAGTAGCCTGCAGTGCTGCATTTAACCACTGCGCCACCTTGGCTCTTTAGTCATTAAAGAAGTCATTAAAGAAGCTAAACGGAAATGAAACCAGAACTTTTCCTCTTGGGTTTAACAGAAAAAGAACTAGAGAAAAAATTTGGAACTTTGTTACTATATATGTTGCCAGGAGCAAGACTATTTTATGCACAAAAATGGAAGGACACTTCGATTCCCACTATGGATGAATGGTTGCAGAAATTGATGAAGTTGGCCGAAATGACAAAATTGACCACTTTTGATTAAAGAAAAGAACATAAGTGGTTTTGTTTCCACATGGAAACCACTTCTGAACTTCACGCTCAATGTGGAGAAGAATGAAACTCTGGGTTTTACTGATTAGACTGATAGATCTTTATAGAAATGGCTTGTTCATATTATTATAAAAAAGCAAAAAGTTGTGATTTGATGTTTAATGCCTTATTTTAGTGTAACAGAGAGAGTCGGAAGTCAATGCTTCTTTTTCTTTCCCCCCCCCCTTTCCTTTCCTCCCCTCTCCTTCCCCTTTTCCTCCCCACTGCTTTCCCATTTATTTTGTATTTTACATTAAGTTATAACTCAATAAAAATGTTAATAGAAGTAAAGAAGCTAAATAGAAATCTCATGGGCTGTGGGTTCAGAATCCGCTCGCAGTGAGATGGGCAGCAAGCAAATGTAATAAATAAAAAAAATAAAAAATTCTGCCTCGTTACCATTCCAAAATTCACTATAGGCATTCAAAAAGTGACAGAGATAGGCAATATTAAAAACAAAAAAAGTTGTACTTTCTTTGACTTGCAATTTTACTTATTGGCTAGTCAGCAGTGCACCATCCTTTTCTGATTTTGCATTGAACTCCAAAGACAATCTCTCCTAATTAACTTTGGACTAAGTTTACTAGAAGCCTCAGCTGGCTACTCCTGCAATGCTAATGACTTGAATCTGATAAAACTTAGTCCGCTTGCTCAACAGACCATGCGCCGGCAACACCATGCTTCCTATTGCTCCCAAGTAGCTCACACTTTCCGTATTGGGAAGGGCAG